AAAACTGACACAGTGTCAGGCTGACTGGTAATTGACAAGCCATTATTGTAATTAAAATAACTCATACGCAGCGTTGTCGCAGACGATGGGCGGCAGTCCCACATAAATCATGATGCGCTCATGGGCGTCACTTGTAGCTTTGAATTTATTTATGCCAAACAAGACGAAACCTTTGCCGTTCGCTTGCCACTCGTTCTGATTTCTGCGGTCAAAATAATTTCCGCTTAGGTAATAAAATTTGATTTATTCTACGAGACTCACCCAGTCTGTTTTTAATGGCAGGCGGAGAGCTCTGACAGTGCTGCCAAAAAACAAACGTTAAAGTATTTCAAATCCAGAAAGGCCACTAGTGAGCCATAAAAGTGGTGGCAAAATCATGACAAAATAAAATAAACATTTAAAGTGCCAGGTGATGAATTTGCATGAGGTTTTTGCTGTAAAATTAACCTCCCCTTCAGTATTTCATTTTACAAGCTAAAAGTTATAACATAATCTAACCTACAAAATGAAGTTTAATCTGGTATTAACAGAATCTTTTCATATTTTCCCACTGCGATCTAAGTAATTAATGGCCATAATTGCGGTGGTCCACAACGTAATGCCCAGAACATCGTCAATATCAATAGCTGTCCGGTGTGATAAATGCACTAAGGGCGGCAAAAACCGCAGCGAGAAGCGAAAGCAGAATTCAATTAAAAAATACTTTCTGGCATTATTTAATGCGGCAACATTTGTTACCCACCGAAGCCGGGTAAAATCACTGCATCACCGCCCCTTGAGGGAAAAAATCGCATTAAAAGCCTGCGAAAAGAAAACAAAAGCAGAAATCCCTTTGCTTTTTCGCATTTTCTTCTTGTTTTTTTTTCTGGCTGAGTTGTGTTTTGTTACCCAAAGCGCATTTTTCACTTAGCTGGCAGTTTTCCTGGCTCGTCTCTTCTCCTGCGGGCTTTGTTTGCGTCTGTTTTCCGCGCTGGCCAATCACGCATTTGGCCAAAGCCCACTCCCGGCCAAAACTGGCCAAAACCGACAGATAAGGCCAGAACATAACAGAACAGAGCAGAACACAAAAAGCAGGAGCAGCGAGAAAAACGCAGAGGCAGAGCAGCAGTAACAACAAAATCGAATGCAATTTATTTTCTAGTTACTGTTAAGCTGATTGCAACTCCGATGGCGATGGCGATGGCTATGGCGATGGCGATACCGATTCCGATGCTCTCCGAGCCTCCAACGCTTCGTACCAGGTTCTTACACGGAAAAAATATCAATAAGTTTATGTAAAAATATATATCTAAGTATACGCGGATATCAGATTGCTAACATGTCGAGCTCATTGTTTTTCCTTGAAAACTTTTCAGCTAAAAATATTTTTTATTTCAATGCCTTAAAACATAATTTTTTCCTATGCACTCTCTAGTCCTGCCAAATCCTTTGAGCTGTACAGGAGGCCCTCTACTTCCCCTATTCCTTTTTCAACCGCCATGATGCAGCAGTGAACGCCCAAAAAACAAAACTTTGGTAGCCGCGAGTTTGCCTGTTAAAGGCCAAAAGCGTCACTTAAAAGCGAATCAACAGAGCACAAATGCCTTTTGGCATTAGAGTTGGTCGAGACAGTTCCGGAACTAGTTGGGGATTACAAGTAGAAATGATATAAGAACTAGTTCATTTATAAGATTGGATTGTAGAAAATATATTTTAAAATACTGGATATGATAGAATAATAGTTATTATTAATAAATATAGGGAGTCTAACGTAAAACTTTCCTTAAACTAGTTCATTTTACAACATCTCTCCAGGATGGCCCTGCTTTTGCAGGACCTCGAATGGCCACTTCACAAAGCTGAAAGCAAAAATTCCAATTTAAGCGGCGTGTCAAAATTGCAAATCAAAGTTTAGGGTTCCCGGGTCCGCAACTTTTACCGAGTGTTTGTATGAAAATTGCTTGATTGAATGCCTGATTGAGTGACTGACAACTGGCTGACAGCGACGGAGACACACAGACAGGCCAGAATGGACAATAGCCAAATCGTCGCAATTGTCCCCACACTCGGACCCACACACTCGCATTCAAATGGTTCTGAACGGCGGAAAGGGTGATCCAAATGGTCGGTTAATTTGAGGCAATCACTGGGCAAATTGAACCCACGGCTATCTCAGAAACTGTTGTCGTCACTTTTATGCCCCAGTTCGGGTCAGTATTATCGTTTCAAAAAGGATCAACCGATGATGCGTATTGACAGAGCAGAGTTATCTTTGCCATTGCCCTAGGCAGCCAAATGGGATTTACCATGCTCGCAGTTTGTGTAAATATATTTTGGGATTGATTGGCAAGACAAACTGAGTTACATGCAAGGAAAATACATTGGCTATATGCTATGGGGCTGGTTCAAATGCTAATCAAGGTAAAACCATGTAGAGAATGTTATCTTTGTAAATTGAGGAATAATATAGATTTATAAATGAGCTCAGGCTTTGCTTACCCGGCAGTTTCGGACACCACAAGGATCTGTCATCTCCGACATGGATCTTCCAAGGGAATACTTTGAGCTCCGGAACCCCTAGCCATTAGCACGTGCTGTTCATGCCAATGGTTAAGTCCACTTCTGACGAGAGTCAAATGCTTTCGAGGGTACAACAACGTGCATGTAATTGTGTCGCCTGGGACAGTCGGCCTAAGCCTAATCCGTAGCCCGTGGCCACTTTTGCTGCTGCCACTTAAAAATCCACTTAATCCCGCCGTCTTGAAAAAATAACAAAAAAAAAAAGAGAAAAGCAGGAAAGAACAAATCTGGGGGACTGAGGATGTATAGCCAAGTTTAGCCCCCGCTCTGACGTATTCAAACTGCAAGTCGATTGTTATTTTTACGCCAGCAGCGGAAATAGACATCCTGCCTCGCGTCCTGCGAACAAAAAAAAACTTTAACACAACTTTTGTCGAAAGCGCGCGGAAGGAAAAATAGGGAAATGGCGAAGGAAAAGCGGGCAAGTCAATGTCGACTGAAGGAGTAAATTTTGTGCGGCAGTTGAGCAAAGTTTTTCCTCTGACTGGGCATGCTAGGACTAGTAGGACCTTGCCATTATAGAAAGTGCCCGTTGAGTAATTTAAAAGTTTGCCCCCAGGTCTCAACTTGTAGTCACCCATTGAACGGGCCAAAATATTGAGGTCCAATTGATTTCTTATAATAACAAGAAATCAGACTTTAAATCATGTGCCTGTGTACAGGGCAAACTTGTTGTTTCCTGTTGGCCGATGCATGCAAGTCGATTGCCTTTTCGAGTACATAAAACTCCTCAATAATTTTAGCTCGCCAAAACTTTTTCTCGGCTTTGTAGTTCATAAAAAAATGGCAAAAATAGTAGGGCAATATTGGCTTAACAAGGCCTAGAGAGGCCAGCGTGAGGGAATGGCAACTTAACCTTCCCAGACTATAGATATTACTATAAATAATAACTTTTATAATTAACCTGATATCATCCTAGTATGAGTTAGTAATATAATAACTATATTCCTTCTATTAATAGTGGTCAAAGTCGTGTCACGCCCGAATCCTGGTCACTCATCTCTGAAACTCGCTTTTCCAATTCGATTGCCCCAAAACAAGATTAGTGTTTGGGGCCAACGAAATCCGCTTTTATTACCGAAGGCATTAAATATTCTTGCGTCATTGGACAAAAGCCCGTCGTGGGAAAAGGAATTTGTGGTGCGTGGACATAGAAAAGGGAATCTGAAGGACGCGACTATGTGTCGGGGCCATTTGGGATTTGTTTTACAATTTAGTCACGCGCCTGGGTCGTTTCTTTTTACATTTCGTGCCCACCTTTTTAATTAATTTCTCCTTTCGCTGCTTTTGGCCAGATGAGAAAGCCATTTACGCGCTTCAAAGGATGCTCGTTAGGGATCTCTGCCGCGCTAATGGCAATGTCCATGCAAATCAAAATGGCGACACGGCAACTTCCGTTTCCGCTGCGCGCTCTTCGCACTCTCCTTGGCTCCCTCGAACAGCAACTAAACTAAATCCTTTCTCCCGCACATTTGTCGCATGCGTTAATTTATGTTTGCCTAGTTTCAGTTTCAGTTGCCAACTTTTGTACTTAATTAGCATAATGAGAGGTTCTCTCGACTGCCGTTGTTATTGTTCCCGCCTGCTACTTGCTGCTTGCTGTTTGCTGTTTGCTCTGCTGCAACACCCGAAACTCCTTCAGCAGGAGTGTATTTAGTTAGTTTGTTGACTTTTCGAGTGTCTGGCAGTTGCACACTTACGGCGCCACGTTGATCAAACATTGAAGATTCCAGCAGTTAAATATTGCATTAGGCCGCAACGGCAGCCTGAAATTCTATGCTCAGAAAGGTAATTAAAATGTAAAACATTATAGGCTAAATATGTGATGTTAAATTCAAATACAAAAACGTTCGTCGCTCATTTTGAAATGCATCTTACCAAAAGGAAAATGAGCATTAAATGCAGTTCCCTCATATATTACTCATTAGAACTTATCTTAAGCTTGCCATATCTTTCTTAATAAACTATCACATACTTTGAGCTGCATTTTAGACTGTCGTAGATTCTGTGCAGATGCACGATGAGGCGCATTCAAAACTTCATAGCGCCCAAGAAAAGTTTTAGAGGGGAGCATCAAAAGCAGCCATCCACATATTCAATTGGAGTTACTGCTTCAGAAAGTTCAACAGCAATTTGTGTGTTCATTTTTGGGTGAAGAGCTTTTCGCCAAAAGATTTCATTAATATTAAAAGAGAGGGAATTCTTTTTAAGACCACAGAAACTAAATGAAACGCTTGTCATATATACACACACACACACACACCAGAAAGTTGGCAAAAAGTTTGCCCACCGCCTCCTTTTTAGAGTCGAACGCAGCCAGCTGTGCAATTTGCTGGCAAAACTCAACAATTTGTGTCTCAAAAGCATAAGGACTGTCCAGGAAGCTTGGGTGGCCTCCAGCTGGGAGTTGGTCTGCGAACTTTTGGCCAAGACCCCGTTGATTGATAACCCTTACATTTATTCTACGAAAAGATCTCTACAAATCTTAGTCATCGCTTAGTTCACCATCTTCCATGGAATCCCTGTCTTGGTTTATGGTCAGATCTACTATGGGAATTTCGTTTTGAGCTCTTTTTCTTCTTAATCTCATTCGTGTCATCCCAATATCCACTATTGGCTTGGGCATAGGTATGGCCCTGGGAACTTCAACATCCTGCTTTGGCTCCTCCTCTTCTTTGAAGGAAGCCAATTCCCCCGGATGCAAGGGTTCATCCCAGTCGTAAACCCCATTGGCCATGGGCATCCAGAAAGCGATCAGCAGATCGCTGCTCACGAACATGGTAGCCTTTGGACTGAATCGCAGACATGAGACAGGACCTACATTGTTGCCCTTAAGGACGGCCACAGGATATCCATCGACAGCCCGCCAAATGTGAATCCTGCCCTCATCCGCTCCAGAAAGGATGAACTGCGAATCCGGCGTATAGCTTGCTTCCAGAGGTACCCTCGTCCTGTTCGAATAGCCTGTGAAGGACTGCTGGAAGGAGCCATCGAAGGCGGAAACACTGAAGCACCAGGAATGATCCGTGCTTAACAGCAAGGTCTTTCCATTCGGAGCAAACTGCAACTGAGTCCACTTGGCGCTGTCGTTTACTTGGTAGACGAACTTCAAGCATGGCTTCTCAGCCAGCATCCGCACATCGTGGATCTCAATACGTTCCGTACCCGTGCTGGTGGCCACTACCAAGCCAGCAGGGTCATAGGCGCACAGCGGAGCTCTCAGATTCTTTATCAGATACGTGTGCGACGATGTCCGAAAATCCCACATATAAACTCGATCATCCAGTCCCACGCTGATGAACATATAATCGCACCCGGGCTGAGGTGCCAATGTATGGGCACTCTTTGTATGACCACTGAAAACTCGTATACAACGATTGGCTTCGAGATCCAGGCAACGGACGGCGAAGTTATGCTGTTAAACAAAAATTTAAAGATTTGAGAACATTCATATATTATTCCTAATCTTAGTCACTTTAGAAAGCTTAAAGTCAAAATATATATTTGGGAAAATTCCGTGGCATTTCCCAAGCCGCCTGCTTTGTGCTTTTCTCCCTAGCCTAGGAGTTCTCCTTTGAAGCCCCTTACCTTTGAGGTGGAGTGCAGGACGCGAGTATCCCGGTGTGTGAAGCAGGCCACCTTGGGAAGGTAGTGGCTCATGTGAAGCCGGCAAAGCTCCGTCTGTCGAATGCTGCTGAAGACCGAGAGGGCAGAGCGGTCGCATGACAGCAGGCGTCGTCCGTCCAAGGAGAAGTCCAGAGAGAGCTTGTAATCGTCCGTCTCCTGAAACACCTTGGCCACCCGAAACTGCCTCATGGCATCGTCGTTCAACCTCATAGACATTTCGTTAGAGTCTGAACCACATACGAAAAATTCTCTCAAAATTAATGTGACGTTAGGGGCACTGGCGTCTAACTTTAAGCTTAACTATTTTAAAGAGTAACATTAAATTATATTAAAAGATAAGCTGATATTCTTGTTATTCAGATGATCTCCCTTTTTTATTAAAATATTCCTCTAACATTATTTCCACTTGACTAACTTAAAGCTTAAAGCAAACTGATTTGAGCTTGCAACGGATGAAGTTGATTAAATCAAGTGCTGGACCGCCTGCCACGCCCTATGGAACGCCCTCTGCCACAGCTGTGGATGCATTTTAATTTCCATTTCGCGACCAAGTCCCAGATAGCCTTGTTCCTCATCATTGCGTCTCATTAGGGGCGTGGGCGGTCGACTGTGGGCGGTGGGAATTGAAGTAAAAACAGTCTGCTGAGTTGGCAACGCAGTTTGCCGTCGGCTCGAATCTCCACTTGTTGACCAAATGCCAGGAACTTGTTATTTAGGCCGATTTGCGTCATTAGTGCAGCTAAGGACCCGCTTTCCTCCAAAATGTTTCTCCTGCTGGGAAAAACCGAGTCTAGGCAGCAGCTGTCGACTCGGCAAACATTTTTGGTAGTAATAATTGAGGGAAAAACCAAGAGTAGGAAATTAACTTTTAGCCATTTAAGTTGGAGAAAATGAAAAGTTTTTTTAAGAAGAAGCTTAACTTGGCTGTTATTAAGTTATTGGAATTATATACCAAAAAATAGACCACAATTCTTGGTATCTTGGTATCTAACCTTATTACAGAGCTTCGCCTTAAGACTTTCTTTACCTTCAAAACTTCCTCTACTATAATAAATGGTACCTGTATCGTTATTAACGAAAACTATAGAGAATTGATGTTGCCTGCCAAAGTCCTTGAGTCTTTGGCACTGATGCAATGGCATTCGCCATCATAATGCGGACTTGTGCAGCGACCTCGGGCTTAGCACCTGGCCATATCAATGGCACCGGCCAGGTGATTGCGACAGCGATTGCGGTCGAAATGTACTGGATGACCCTGGCAGCGCGGATGCGACTTGGCCCGAAGGCAAATGTAATTGTAATGTAAGCGGAAATAAGCGCCGCGAGGACACGCAGAGCTCACTCCCATCTGGCGTCGCATTTTAATTAAAATTTATAAGCCTTGGTCGGGGATTTGGCACTGAGCCACAGGATGTGGATGTTGGCAGGACCCAAAGGCTGGATACCAGGAGCAGAAGCAGGACCAGGAACCAAGCAGTCATTGGTGGCATGGCGGCGTTTTAAGCTTTTAAGTTGCGGTGGATTTGCGAGGCTGTGAATCGGATTTTATGTGAAAATCAACTGCGGTGTGCATAAATTAAAAATCAGGCCGCAGCAACAAACAAAACATGGAGGAGCCTGTGGGCGAATTATTTGTAATTAATTTGCCGTATTAGCCCGCCCCCACGGCCACAGGTATTTGCATTGATCCCAGGTAGAAAAAAAAGAAGAAAGCGATTAAAAAATGCCTCGGAATTTGCGCATTTGCGGCTTTGATTGTCGAATTAAATTAAATTTATTTAAACAGAAACAATTTCGTATTACCATTATTATCCAACTCAATGGCCCTTGGCATAATTGTTTTCTATCAAATGTTATTAATATTATCAATTAGGATTATTGTTGTTGTAAAAAATGCAAATCAATATCAAAGTTACGTCAAGCTTATGGTCAGTAATATGGTTTTTATGTTAATCACAAGGGGGCTTGTTGAAAAAAAGAAACTTCAAGCAAATAGCATAAGCCCATAGTTTTTAAGGAAGATAAGTCCTATAGCCCCGCCTACTTAGCCACACGCCCTACAAAAACCCAACTAGAAAAGTGACTAGAACTAGTCTTTAACTAGAAATTTAAAGTAAAAGTATTTAGTTCCGTTCTAATTCCATTTACCTAGCATCCACTAACTGGCCACAATCGTCACAAATTTCGCCTGTCTGGGATTACTGTCCTCGATGGCGTTATCAATGCACACCATGCCCACAGAGCACGAGCGCCGGAGCAGGAAACCCAAACTGGTGGCCATTAATTGCCGACTTTCGATTATCCGTGCGACAAATATCCATTTGGCAGCCAGCCAGACAGGATTTCTGTTATCCAAAGCTCTGTTTACTGATATTTTATGACCCATCCTCGACGGCAATTGCACTAATTGCAATTTTAGGCACGTTCCCTGGCCATTTGCATAACACGAATTCGCCATTTAATTGTTCAAAAAATAGATTCCAAATTTCGTGCATACATGCCATCGAACGTGGTGTCAAAATTCCGGAGAGACGAAGGAAAAAATCGAATTATAAATCTGTTCGTTGCCCAACGATTTAATTTCGCCATGTACTCTAGGTTACAAATCGAAAATTCGAAAATCCGGGCCAATGGATTTTTGTTGTCAAGCCAAAGTGCAATTTGTTGTCAAGTTTTGAATGAATTCCTTAAGAGAGCATAAATTTTACAAGCACACAGTATTGGTCTGGTCCATATCTAAGAGGAGTATGGCTGGTACCAAGGGGCGTGCTCGGTGAAGTGTCAAGTTTATTACGGACTGGGGTACTCGACTTGGCCCAGGCTAAAGTGTCAAAATGGCAGCAGAGCTAAAAATTTGCGCAAATTTTTCAATCTCTCTGGGTGTGAGTGTCAGTAAATCCTGGCGACTGTGCGTTTGTCAAGCTGGCAGCAACAACAATTGCACTTCCCATACCACACCATACCAAAAGGCGAACTCAGTCGAAAACCAAAGCCAAAGTTCAAACACAATATCTCAAATATGCACAGGCATGTGCAGACTTTTACGTGTGTTGGTAGCTACGTTTAGAAATACACCAGCAAAAAACTCGTTAGAATCTCTCAAGACTTAAGATCATGCAATCCCTAAACAAAAAAATGAATAGCAACTAAAATTGCAATCTAATCTAAACTGATTTGGTTATATCTGATAACTTTCATTTAAGGTTTGTCACCAAAATGACCTTCTTATTTCCCTCGGTGTAAGCCTGCACTTTTCTATTCTTCAGCGTGTGTTTGAATGCGTTCCTCATGCGTTGCTCAGCAGCTGCCTTGCACCTCTGGAATTGAACGGTCGAGGGCCACGCCCCTTTCTAGCCGTAAAAGAAGATAAATGACAGAAGTGAGCCATATCAGACACAGTCAGCAGTGAGCAGCCAGGAACCAGAAACTGGAAACCAGAAACCAGCAGCCAGAGGCTCTAACTGCTTTGCATTTGGCTCTGCAGGTCGGCAATAGAAATAGGGGCCGAGGCGGCACAATTTGCCATCTTGAGGCTGCAGACGTCAGCCGTCGTCAAATGGAGTGTCCTTGTGTCCCTCTCTCCCTGTGTCCTTGGTGTCCCCACTACCCGGTCCTTGGTCAACTTTGCATTTGATTAAAAGCGGATAGCCGCCTCTGATGAATTGCACATGTGGCAGCTCTTCGGCTCTCGCTTTTGTGCCCTATGCCATTATCGGGCGAAGTCAAGGCAGAGGATACGTATACGTAATACGAATACGCATACGCATACGTATACGTACTTTCCAATTCCCCAGCTCACCTTCACCTTTCGCTGGCCTAGAGCACTCTCGCAATCTCAATGGCCGTGCTGGGGGGTGGGGATGGAAATTTAATTTAATATTCATATGACTGTAAAACGCTACAAAAGTCGCAAAAAATGAAACGGACAGAAAATGCTCGTTAAAAAGAACACAAAAATAACTGCGAATGTATGTAATAAAAAGGAAAGTAAAATGGAAGATTTGTCACCAAGACGAAAAGGAAATACACTCCATTTTATTTCTTGCTGAGAATTTGGAAAAATATAAAATAAGTTAAGTTTGAGCTGAACTCTGTTGTACTTACCCATTCTTAAACTTTCATTAAAATATAATTAATAAAGGAAATAAAAGTAGTTGTTTTACTTATATATTAAATTAAGAACAAAGAAAATAATTCAATAGTACTATCTTGTGTGCTATTCAATCTGCCATGGCTTATTTCTTTCCAGAGAATAATATACTTCCCCACGCAGTTAAAAAATTCTTTCTGTAAGATCTGTCGTCCAGAAATATGACACTGAGCTGCAGAGTGGGTGGTTTTTGGGTTGGATTGCGTCCCCCAGAACGTCATACAAAGTAAACACGCTCCGCACTCGGCAATGACAGTGGGCATGAAAATTTATGGCTACCGCCCGCCCGCATCGGAACACCAGTCTCCACCAGATCCCACAACCCAGACAGTCAGGCGTTGGAGTTCCGAATCCGAATCCGAATCCGCGGCGTATTAAATTTCGGCGGCAGGACGATGTCTGCCATGCAACATGGCAAACTATGCCACTGACAAAAGTTGGAAATGTTGGCCATGGCCAAGCCCGGCATGCGGGAAAAAGAATTACGGTGGCAAATGGAAGTACAGGAAAATAAATTCCAGCACAAGGAAGAGCTGTGAAGGACCTCCTTGCTGCTATATGACTCTTGTAGTTCAAAATATATATTTTTTAATATGCATAAATTGCTCACATATTTCATTTGGTTTTATTTTCGGACAACTGAAAAGGAGCATAAAATACAGGTAAATATAGGTAAATACTCTACCATCACATTCTTCTTTTTTAAAAAATTATTACAATTTTGATTTTCAATTGCTAGAATATAAATATTTATTTTCTCACTATCATATGCACTTATATTTTCATTTTAAAGTCTGTTTAATTATGTAAACAGTATGGAATAGTTTGAATAAATTAGCACAAGTAACATTTTTTAAATACCTATTTTCATATAACTTAATAATATTAAAAACAAATTCACTTTTAGGCAAAAAAGCTTCCGTTTGAATACTTTCAATCATGATAAAACCCTTTACAAAAACCATGTGTATACATTTCATATCGTTATAACGAATATATATGCCCGTATTTATGATTTTTCCGCAACAGCTGAAAATGAAAAAAGGCACTCGGAAAAAAAGTTAAG